AACAACAGGGAGGAGATAAACAAGAACCAAAGAAACATAAACTGGCTTTGCATCAAAGCAGAAAATTATGGAATCACAGGGTTAGAGACCCAGGTGATAGCAAGAATAGAGGTCAATTACTTATAAGAAGCAAACAGTACTATCTCCTCTTTTCCTTCTCTTGCTCCTTCCTTCCCACCTAACTATTGAGCTTTTAAGAACAACACACTGATGTGAACACTTGTCCTGGAACATCTCAAGCCCTTTAAGAAGCCCTGGTAATTTTGTTCATCTCTGAATCCTGCACAGAGCATTGTCTGACATGCAAGAGATACTCAATTAATATTTGTTGTTTGAAAAATTGATCACACAGTGATATTTCTGATATTTCAAGAAAAGCTGTCTATGTGAATTACATAGTGAAGAGGAGATGGGATTTAGAAGCAAAGTGACCTGGGTTTGAGTCCCAGCCTTTGGGACTCAAAGCCTGTGGGACCTTAGGAACAAGCATGCCGTCTCTTAGCCTCAGTACCTTATTAGTAATGTAGGGCTAATAATACCAGGGGTGCCAAAAACATGTACATAAGTGGATACTTTGATCAACCTTGCTCAAGCAGTAGTTCGCCGTAAGCAGAAGTGTCAGAGGTGCACTTTGAGCACCTCTGGTAATTGCAAACATGATGTATTCATCTTTTGTTATCAGTGTGTATTGAGTATTTCAGCTTTAATAGCTTTTCCCTTTCTTAAAATGTGTACACATTTTTGTGGCACCCTCTGTGCGTGCATCCCTGGGTGAAATAAGATAACCAGTATGAAGCTGTGTGGCACAGGTGAGCTTCTCAAAAAATTTTAGTTTCCTTCATTTTATGAAACATCTTTTTAGAGATCTGCATCATTTTACTTACCAATGTAAAAGTTTAATTTCAGTATCTTTATCTGTTTCTATCCACACTTTTTTATATTGGAGTTCAAGATTTTGACAAAAGGGAATGAAAATAAAAAAGTTCAGACCCCAGGGGCCGGCCGGGTGGCACAGTTGGTTAAGAGCGTGAGCTCTGAGCAACAGACCGCCTGCCAGTTCGATTCCCACATGGGCCAGTGAGCTGTGCCCAAGCTGAGCTGCTGCTGAGCTGCCAACAGGTGGCAGGATGGCTCAGCTGGTGAGAGCACGTGCTCCTAACAACAGGTTGCCAGTTTGACTCCCTCATGAGGTGGTGGCCTACACCCACCCACAACTAAGATTGAACACGGCACCTTGAGCTGAGCAGCTGTGAGCTGCCGACAGGCGGCCAAATGGCAACTGGATTTGGAGCTGAGCTAGCTGTGCCCTCCACAACTAAGATTGAAGGACAACAACTTGGCTGTTCCCGTTCCTCAATTTCCCAACACTGTTCCTCTTCCCCAATTTTTCAATAATAAAAAAAAAACGTTCAGACTCGAGTGTAATTTTCTTGTTGTCCTTTGATGACTTTGGTTTGGTTCTATGTCTGTATCTGAGAGGCAGTAGTGCACAGTGGTTTAGAGTACAGCCTCCAATTCTGGGTCCAGGCTTCACCGGGTCATGATGTAGGCAATTTACTGAACATTTCAGTGCCTCAGTTTCCTCACATCTTAAATGGGGATAATATTAGTACTAACCTCATAGGACTGTTATGTAAAGAACTTAGAATGATGCCTGGCACAGAGGTCTTCAATAAGTGAGGTCAATTTGGGGGGCTGAAAAGTTCACTTCAGTTTTCCAAGTTACACCTTAATGGTTCACTCAGAACAGCTAACCCTTATATGGCGAACCCTTAATGCTTTAATCAGCATAACAACATCATCGTCATTGACAACCACAGCTCATACAGTGATTCCGCTGTACTCTCATGGTTCTACACAGTACCTTACAGTTATTAACGCCTTTAATTCTCACAGCAACACTTTATTTCTTTCCCTCATTTTACAGATGCAAAAACTGAGGCACAGAGACATTAAGCTATTTGCCTAAGGTTGCATTGCTAGTATTCTGGCTCCAGTGTTTGCACTCTCAATACTAATTTAGTTATACCGGTTCAACAGAGTATATTACATGACAAAAATATAGTTTGATGCCCAAAAGATGAAAATAATTATTTTAGGGACTCACAGTCTTCTATGTCAAGATACCAGGGGGTCAAGGACCCTTCTAGATGAGTCCTCATTCTTCCAATTTACAGTTTTGTGACATGTGAAAGATTAAGGGCTCATCTGTAAGTCTGAGATAAATAATTCCTGCCCTTCTTTTTACATAGTTTTATTTTGGGGATAAAATTGAATAAGATCATGAAGAAACAAAATACCATTTTAGAAAAAATTTAGATATTAAAAAAATTAAGCTAATAAAATAATACATGAGACTTTGTTTTGCAAATTTTAAAGCTCTGTGCAATTAGTTTTTTCAATGTTTCTTTCGAAAGGCTTAAAAAGTAGTCTTAGCAGGCTGTCACCTAGGCTTCTGAAATAGATTCCAGACACTTCCCTGCCTCCCGTCTCTCACAATTGAAATCTAGGCTTCGGAAGCCATCGTTTGATCAGTTACCTAAAAATAACTTATTCTTCCTTTAAAAATATTTTAGAGACATCTAATATCTACTCATGTTATTACAATATATATAACTAAAGTTATTCCTTGGCTGTGAATCTGGGGACTACTGAGATATGGACCAATGCCAACCATAACTGAACAGTGAACAAGCACTGGAATATGTGTAGACCCATGGCTTGGTCTTAGCTCTGAAAACAGGTAACGCTGGAGAAGTAATCTAATAGCTCTTTAGAATACAGTTTCTTCCAGGTAGCACCTTGTGTAAACATGTATCCATCTCGCTATAGAAACATTTATTGAACACCAGAGCATAAAAAGACTAATAATCTAGAATTCATAGCATACAGTCCCTTTAGTTCTGTGATTCTAACACAAATTCCATTGTCCATTGTTGCCCTACAAAAAGCCCAGTCCTCACTCACTATTTGATATAAGTTAACAGTATTTGCAAATGAAGGAGCTTTGAGTTTGAAATTTGCTGATGTTACTCATTCCCATTCAGTGCAAATATGCAGTTCATCTTCTGGAAAGGGAACAGGGTAACCTTGGGACATCTTGTTCAAGAACAATGGTCATAATCTGTTAGTCCTAATATTCTTTTTTTTCTTTTTTTTTTTAAGATTTTTTATTGGGGAATTGGGGGAAGGGGAACAGACAAGTTGCTGTCCTTTTTGTTCTTCAGTCTAGTTACGGAGGACATTGCTTCACTGGCCCATGTTGACATTATCATTGCGCTTGTCCCAGGTGAGGCAGTCGCTCGCTGGCCATTGAACGGCTGCTCACGGCAGCTCACAAAAGTGCACACTAGCTGCCGGCCAGCCCCACTGCAGCCTATGCCATCGCTGGCGACTCAACAGCAGCCTAGCTCCAGGTCGAGCTGTTGTTCACCATCTTAGCTGTAGAGGGCACAGTGTCACTGATCCTCATATATGGGATCCGAACCGGGGCCCTGCTATTCAGAATTGGCATCCCAAGCCAACTTCTAACCAACGTGCACTCGGCTGGCCCAGTCCCCGTATTCTTTTTTTTTTTTATTGGGGAATTGGGGAGATGGGAACAGTGCTGGGGAATGGGGGGAAGGGGAACAGACAAGTTGCTGTCGTTTTATTCTTCAGTCTAGTTGTGGAGGACGTTGCTTCACTGGTCCAAGTTGGCACCATCATTGCGCTCTTTCCAGGTGAGGCAGATCAGTTGCCGGCTTCTGGACGGCCGCTCACTGCGGCTGCTGGCCGCTCATGCTGGCTGCTGGCTACACACGGTAGCCCATGACAACCCACTGCCACAGGGGCTGCAGCCTATGCCGTCGCCGGTGACTCATGGCAGCCCAGCTCCAGGTAGAGCTGTTGTTCAGCATCTTAGCTGTGGAGGGCAGTGTCACTGGCCCTCATATGTGGGAATCGAACCGGGGTCCTCTGGCGTCCCAAGCCAGTCTTAACTATCGCGCCACTTGGCCGGCCCAAGTCCCCGTATTCTTGATGCCAGGGTTCTCAGGTCTCACGTAGGGTTTGTCCAAGAGTAAGTATAGTCCGTTATAATGTCCACTCTTGCTGAAACATCCTTTCCCTTCAGCCTGAAAGAATCAGTTCACTATCTCGGACATGGAATCTATGCCAATCCCAATATATATTTCCTAAAAGTTGAAAGAAGGTAACTGGATGATTTCTCAAACTCCCTAAAGTAAAATGAACAACTCTGAGCTGTCGTAAAATCAGGGTGACCCTCACATGTGATTAATCCTTCAAGACTTGTAAGGCATTTTGAAACACAGAGAGAAAGAAGCCCATATTTCTTTCTAGAACTCATAGTCTAACCTTGCAAGTGCTAGTCTGCCAAACAAAAAGGTAGGTTGTGAGCAAAACGATGGGAGTCGGAAGAAATGGGACCAATCTGCAGGCCCACATACAGTGAGTGGCCTTTGGCAAGTCATTTCACATCCACAACCCTCAGTTCCCTCAAGTGTAAAAGGAAGTTATTGTCACTTACACTGCAAGGGTCAGGAAATGAATGCAGAACACAGCACAGTGCCTGATCCACAGTGAAAGTTCAATAAATATTAAATAACAAAATAGCAAACATTAGGATATATAAAGAGGGTGGGTTCTCTAAAACTGCCACCTGTCTCCTCATGCAATAGCCCCTGAGAGAGTCTGAGTGTCTTTTCCTATGAATCAATGGAATAAATTTAACATCTCTTTCTGTGCCTGTAGGACTAATTCAGCACAGCCCTAGCCTTAAAGAAACCCAGTATTTAACAAGATTTCAAGGAGTGATTGTGTCTTTAGTCCTGGACAGCACAATTCAAGTGTGAAGAAAGTGGGAGAAGAGCTTTCTGTTTCAGAGATCAAGATTCCTAGAGAAGCAAATACAACAGTGATACACCTTTCCAAGGTGACACAAAATATAAATAATACATCCCTAAAAAGAACATTAGATGAAAACCATGCAGGATTCTCACCAGTATGGAGCTGTCAGTTCCAGGCAATTGTTTAATGCTGACTCTGAGACTGCCATCGTCCTTGCTACTAACAGGTTCGGTGCCACTTTGATCCTAGAAGACATTAAAAAGAAAACGGCAAAGATGTCATTCCTCACTGTACAGATACTCAATCACAATTGCTTGTTTGATTGCTATAGTGGCTACTGTTTCCTCTCCAGAAGCCATTTCTATTTTCTTCGTTTCCAGTAAAAGGCCTTTTTTATTTATTTATTTATTTTTTCAGGTATCTATCCCTGTTGCTCGCAGGGTATGCGTTAGAGATAGCCAATGCCTACTTTCTCTTCCAAGAGGCCTGATTGCCTGAAGGTTAATCCCATTCTTTTTGCCAATGACTTTGTCAGGAATGGGTATGTGATCTAGTTCTGGTCAATGAGACACTAAGAGAGGTTTGCTGGAGACTTCTGCAAAAGTCCTTCCTTTATCTTAAAAGAACAACAAGAAGTCCCCATACCTCTCCAAATAACAAGAAAACATGAAGCTCTAAAAGCCACAGACAGTGATCTCACAACCAGGAGGAAACCAGCCTTGGGATGAAGCTGACATTTGAATGACAGAACAAAGATAGAGATGGAAAGAACTGGTTCTCTGATGGCAAAACTGGGTCCCTGGATCAAGCAAACTTGAAGCCCAGCCTTATCCTCAGCAATCTTCTAATGACAAATAATAAATTTACTTATTATTTTACTCAGAGTTAGCTATTTGTTCCCTCCAGCCAAAACTTTCTGAGATATTTGTTTATCTTCTGCAGAAGACTAAACCGTTTGAGATAAGAAGCCATATTTATCTTGTTTATTTCTGAAACTCAAGCACCTAAGCATCCTGCCTGGGACATGGAAACACCTGACAAACACTGGCTGAACCAATGAATGAATTGAGTACTTCTTTTCTTGATTTTTTTTTCTGCAAGATCCTAAAAAATATTTATGTAGCATAAATGAGACATCTGGTAATAATAAGCCCCATTAAAATTCCAAAACACATTAGGCATCTCAATTGAATTATGACATTAAATGCTATAATTAACCAGAAGTTTCTAAGGGTACATTAGGGAGAATAGAATATAAATGGAGTATCTATTGTACTTGTGTTTATCTATATTTTTATTTTAAAACATCGCCATCCTGGGATTACTACAAATTTGGTTGGGATTGTTTGTAGAGAAAATATTTGTGATTTGAGGACATTTAACCTCACTTATAACTTAAGAAATGCAAATTAAAGCAGATATAGCATTCTTTCATCTACCAAATGAACAAGAAGAATAGAAAGAACATTCAGTATTGAAAATGTTGTAGAGAAACAGGAATTTTTACCCACCATTGAAAAAACGTAAAACAGGGTAGTCATTTTAGAAAAAAACCATATTATATGTAGGAAAATATCTGTAAGGATACAAAACAATTTTTTAAATTGCTTTCTTTTGAGGAGTAGGATTAGGGATTGGGGAATTTTGCATTAGTTATTTCTATGCTGTTTGATTATAGTGGATATTGTTGTTTTTTTAAACATGCACGTATTACTGCATGTTTAAAAAAAAATAAAGGAGAACTATGAAAAATAGCTCAAAGAAAAAAACCCCAACAAAGAATGCAGCATGGACATTGGAATTGGTCAGAGCTGGATTCGAATCTGTACTTTGCTACTTAGAATTAAATGATTATCCACAAGTTACTTTCTAAATCTGAGTACTTGTTTTTAAGGTACAGATAAAAATACCAAATTAAAAATACCCCATCAGGTTGCTTTGAAGATTAATACATTAACATGTAAAAGGTCTATTAGCACAACACTGCATACATTTTTTTTTTTGTTTTCTAGCTTTCTGTTGAGGCATGTTCTTTATCCATGTCCCTGTTTCATGTGGTTTCCATAACAACCCCAGATGAGTATGGGAAAAGAAAGTGTTGTTTAAATAAATCAGAGGAATCTTTACTTCCATATATCTCAGCAATATGAGTAGAGAAGACAAAATTTTATTGGTTTTAGAAAATGAATACTAAAGTGGAGGAAAAACAGTTGTTTGATGCCTCAACTTAGAAAATCTTAGAAAACTCAGGCAAAGCAGTCTAGGTTGCAAATGGTCTTCATATCCTTTAAGATTTGAATAAAAACAAAAAAAGAATACCATTTACATCTATACCTACTGAATTATCATACAAAGCTATGTCTCAAATGTCACTTATGCAATAAATCCTTTCCTTCCCCTTAGCTGAAGACATCTCTTCTTCCTCTAAACTCACCTAATATTTTACCTGAACTTATGTCATGTATCATTTGCATCTTAATTATGTATGTACGGAACTGATCTCCCTGATGAGACTGAAAGATCCTTGAATCCAACATCTGTGCCTCCTTCATTTCCCTTGTCGGGTTCATTTTTAAATTCATCCTAGGTCTATCTCGTTTCAAAGTCAATGTTCTTTTTAACTGTACCATAAGCCCCTTCTAAAGCTTTTCTTCTGTTTTTAGTTACCAGTTTAGTTTCAGATGGCTCCACAGAGGAGGGTTTGAAGTCAAAATCCAGATGGAGAGGAGAGTCAGGTAAAAGGAAGTTGTAATTGAGACACGCTAGCAATAAAGGACTTAGTTTCCTAGGAGAGCTAAAGTTTATAGAAGAGTTGTCATGCTTAAACAAGGCACAGAACAAAACAGTGTGGGTTCTGTTCTGAGAACAGAATGGCTCGTATGTGTTAAGAAGCCTTCAAAATACCCCGCTGACCAGGAGCTTAGAAAACAAGAATCAGTTAGAGAAGGGAAGGAAAAATAGGTCAGCAAGCATGATTTCCAAAGCACAATTGCATCAAGGTGGTGTGAAGACCATCTGGCTGGCGGATGGTGGCCCACTGACACCCAAGATGACTCAGCTAATCCTGATGGCTGTCTGCGCCCTTCCTCTCCTGCTGAGCTTCAAACCACCTGTGCAAAGCTGCCAGTTCAGCCAAGGCTGCTCAAGGAGAACGGCCTTTCCCCATGAAGACCACAGTCAATAGATTCCATGGTAAATTATGCTTTATAGACGAATGATAGAAAAGGCAAGGCTGGTGACTGTACATTTAACAGAGCCTTTATAAAACAAAACAAAACAAAACAAAACAAAACTGACGAAAAATGCTATTCCCCGCTGGGAAGTCCCTTCCAAACTTTCAGGATGTTCTAAACTCCCTGCCCAGGGCTCCTTCAAAATCTTCTACATAAAAGCAATGATACATTTTATTTTTATACTACTTTATTTTTTCATACCCATTATTTTTCTACAGTTATATTCAAATAGACAGTGAGAACCTCGACAACAGGAATTTATGTTTGTGGAGAGACTATCAATAACAGTTAAATTGGTTAAGGATGTTATTGTGGATTGGAAAAACACTTCTGCGCAGATAAATGTTCCATAGTGTTGTTCTATACCTCTTTCCTCATTTAATTAAAGAGTATGTTAGTATATATAACTTTTGTCCTTTTCAGATTTTACTAAGCAAAGTAAATGAAAACGACAACAAAACCCAACAACTATACCTCCCTGATATAATCGAACGTTCTTAAAAACAAACAAACAATAAAACTTATATTGGCTTAAATGATGTATTAGTTTCATTGCAGGCCTAAAGTCACAAATATTTCTTTCTGCAGAGTTGTGTTTATTAGACGTGACAAATTGAATTTCTTTCTTCTACCCTCAATCATGAGCATTTTTCTAGGCTACTCAGAATTCCAGAAAGGCAGCACACAATTAAAGATAAAATGGAAATTATACGAATGGGGCTCCCTGGGTAATCAATCTCTCCATTCTTTATGAGGCCTGCTCCATCTCACTTAGTTTTGAAAAAAGCATGACTTCTGAAAACAAGAAAAAAATGAAGGTTCTTGCTTCTATAATGATATTGTGAAAGATACAGCCTGCCTTGTCATGGAATGGAATAAATACCTTGCAACCCAAGTATACTTGAGCCCTCAGTACCTCTTACAAGACACCATATCAGTGGCTTCCTAATTGGGTTTTCTCTTCAAAACGTCTTTGACGTTGCTATTAGGGTAATTTACCTGAAGTAGAGCCCTGATCAGACCATTTCATTGCTCAAAAATGCCTTCAGCAGTTCCACGTGCCTGATGCATAAAATTCAAATCTTCTGAGGTTTGAATTCAAGCCTCTTTCATTTGACCTCAATTTATTTTTTCAACCCCATCTTCAATTACTCCCTTTTACATGCCCGTCTACTTCTCCCATTCCATACTCTGATTTTTCTTAGTTCTGTGTTTTAGTTTGTGCTATTACCATATTTTTATTCAACCATATTCACATTTTAAAATCCAGCCTATTGATCAGAAATAGCTGTTATCCTAGCAGGGAATACTATTCATCTTCTATGAACTCCTCCTAAAGTTTTATTTCTTGGGGCACCTTGCTTTAGCAATGACGTGCCATATTTCCCCTATAAGACAACAAGTTTTTAGAGGGTAGAGACTATGGGCAATTAATCTTTGTAAGCTCTACAAAGTTGATATTTGGTAAATAGCAGCAGAATGAATTGAATCAATAAGAAGTTAAGTATTCAACACTGAAATGAAACATCAAGGATACAATAGAAAAGCCAAAATATGGTTCCTGCCATTCACTTACTCAACAAATACCAAGGGTGCCAAAAAAATGTATACACATTTTAAGAGATGTTAACACTTTGGTCAACGTTGCTCAAGCAGTAGTTCGCTGTAATCACAAGTGTCTAGATGCTGATGGTAACCACTTTGAGCACCTCTTGTAATTGCAGAAGTCAAACGTGACTTGTATTCATCTTTTGTTATCAGTGTATATTAATGTATTTTTTCCTTTCTTAAAATGTATATATGTTTTTTTGGGCACCTTCTGTATTTATTAAGCAAGTACTATGTACTAGGCGCTGAGGATTGTGTGGTCAAGAAGACAATAAGCCTGGTCCTACAAAAGCATACAGCTCGCAGCCGCTCAGCTCAATGTGCTGTGTTCAATTGGCAACCTTGTTAGGAGCACGTGCTCTCACCAGCCGAACCATCCTGCCACCTGCTGGCAGCTCAGCAGC